AATATCTTCTCCAGCATCCTGGTAGCTTATCATTTTACTTTGCTCATGGTTTCCATTTTTATACAGAAGATTTCTATATTTAATAGTCAAATTTGGCCAGGCATGGTGGCTCATGCCTGTAATCCCAGCACTTTGGGAGGCCGAGGTAGGAGGATCACTTAAGGCCAGGAGTTCAAGACCAGCTTGGGCAACATAGCAAGACCTTGTCCCTAAAAAAACAAAAAAATAGTCAAATTTATCAATGCTGTCCTTTGTGGTTTGTGTCTCTCATCTTCATCAAATTAAATAAACAGATCCATTTATTGTCAAATTTATAACTTTTATTGAGCCTTAATGATGAAAGGTTTGAATATTCTAGTTTAAGATTAATACATCTTTGTTTATATTCCTTGGCCCAAATATTCATATTTAATTTGTGGTTTAGGAGACTCGTTGGTTCAAGTTATTCTATTAGGGTTTTGAAAAAATCATCTGCTATCTTTACTCTTTGGGTTCTGACCTCTATTGAAGCACAATTAGGCAAGTGTGGAATAAACCCAGTATTCATCCCTGATGTGCTTTATCATTATAAGGAGCCCTCCTCCCACTCAATACCCTCCCTCTCATATTTCTTCCTCTCCAGTTCCACCAGTGAACTTATCAACCTGAGGCATCATCCACATGTTACTGGATCCATTGACACTGTTACAGGTTCTAGGACTAAACAAATTCAGGTTTCAAACAGGCAATCTATTGCAACGACCAACGTTCAGAGATGGTCATCAACATGCCAGTTACCATGTACAGCACATCAGGAAAAGCCTCACAGACTCCCAGTGATGAAATGCGATAGCTTCATATGGGTAGAGGAAAAAAAAATGATACAAGATTGGATTATTTCCAGAGATTTAAAAATGATCCCCTAAAACTTAGGGGAATGCCGTGAAACCACAAAAAGCCAATTACAAATGCAGTTTTGGAACTGCAAATGCCAAAATTTTTGCAAAGGACTGAAAAATTGTAGCTGAATCTATGTATTTATGAAAGGGAATATCAGAGGTCTTTTGCATAAATAATTCTTGATGTATGAGAGGCGAAGAAGTATGTTTTGACCTTGCCATTTTGACCTCAAGAGATTTTGACCCTGGCATGCAGCCTGAGCACCAGCTTCCCATCTTCCCACTTTCCCCTCTCCCCTCCCTGCCTCCCCCTGTGGATTTCCCTCTTCTATCCAAGCCTTCCCCATCTCTCTCTCTGTCTGTCCCCTCTTAGCCTCTCTCTCCCACCACT